AAAAACAGATAACCTCCATTAAAGAGAGTCTCTATAGGTAGCTTTAAATAATAAGACATGTTAAATAAAAATAAGCAGAAGGCATCTGCCAATGCTACCCAACCATCTAATAAAGGTCCTAACCCCAAAAAACCATCTCCATTTTCATTCGCAAACACTGAATGTAAACTTTCCTACGATGCTCAAGTCTCAAATAGAGAAGTCCCCAAGACTGATCTAATTAACTCACTGTTCTTTGACCTCCGTAACCTCCAAGTCACTGAAGAACAGCTTTTCGAAGCTATTCAGGATGACATTATGGGCGTAGCCTACAGACAGGAATCTGGCTTCCTTGAAGTTACTCTTACTGACCAAGAGGCTATCAAAAAATACCTCACAGAAGGCCTAACGATTGCTGATACACCCATCATCCCTCTACCTCCCAGAAACTTAAACCCAAGAACCCTAAGGATTAAACTAGCCAACGTGCCTATGCATCTAAGCAAAACACGCCTCGAACAAGATATCAAAAGCTATTGGGGGCAATTCGCCTGCATTAAAGCTATTGCACCATACACCTATAAGGGAACAGCTATCCTCACCAGACGTTGGGATCTAATTGTCCAACTCAAACCAGAAGCCAATGCACTAGAAGCTCCAGTGGTATGGGAATATCAGGAAAGTAAAGTCCTTGCAACATGGAGAGGAGCACCTGCTTCCTGCCTCTCATGTAAGTCAGCTGGGCACTACTCCAGCGCATGCCCTACCTTTCCGCCAAAAAGGAAGACAACTGAAACCCTGAAAAAAATGATCAACAAGCAGGTAACCAGCCCCCCTGAAACCAACATACCAAATGAAGGAGCAACAAATAAAGCACCAGTTGCCTCATCTAGTAAAACACCAATTGCCTCAACCAACAAGGTAACCACCACATATGGTGCAACAAATACTCCCCCTGTGGCACCACAACAATTCCACACTCCCCCCACCCAACTGATGTCATATGCATCTGTAACTGCAGCAGGATCCCCCATCCCGCAAGCCCAACGACAAATGCATCCAGGAATACAATCCCAATTCGAACCACTTGCAACAACAGCATCAAGAGACCTGTACACAGGAAATTCTCTCGACCAGGAAATGGGGGGCCCCTATTATGGACATGAGTACAGCCCAAATCAAGACCTGACAGATATCACTACATCACCTTTTGCAGGAGATGACGAACAAATGGCAAACCAATATCTCCCCCCAGATAATGATGAGGAAATGGCCTTATAACCCCCCTCCAGTCCAAAAAAGGAAAACTCTATAACACACTCTTTAATGAATATCATAACAATTAATGCACATGGACTATCAAAGTTCCAAAAATTTAGACACTTAATTCATAAACTCTCACAATTCCGACCTGACATTATCCTGATCCAAGAACCCATCCACCTTTCTCGAAACAACCAAGATCCATCTATCCTAACAGCAATGAGCCGCAAATGGAAAACCATTTGGCAAGGAGACATCTACATCACTCCACATACAGCAACTCTCATCCACCACACTACATCATCATCATTCATCCAATTACTTGAAGAGGGCAGAATCCTAGACATT